GTATTTGGCTCAGGTGGGATATGACGACACGAGCACACGACCGTGTGTGAGCCTGTATGAGGTTCTTGTTGCACACGACCGTGTGTGAGCCTGTATGAGGTTCTTGTTTGGTTTGATTTTGTCCCAACGTACACACACACACACCACACACCATATTAATTATTTCGCAAATCCATCACCTTGAGTTTTAATTGACGAGGATCTAGACATTGAACTAATTAATCATCAAATAAAAAAAAACCAATATGGACATACGGAAAAAATAGCAAAGCGAGACTGTAAAATCGAATGTTATGAATAAATGATTGAAGTTAAGCAAATTCTGTGTAAATCATCTTGGAGATTAATCGCCATATGCAATGGCGAAATCATAAGTAGGTATGATCCAGGTATTCAGCTATGGAGTGGTGAAGTTGAGATCTGTGATACTAGTGTCTTACAGGAATGATTGTATACACCTTAATATAGTCACTCCATTAGTACTCATAATATGAGTACCAGAGAGCAACAGTGGCTTTCTTTGTAATCTCCGGACGAATTATGTATACTAAAACTAGGCCTATGTCTCAATTAATTATAATTTATATAAGGCGACCATGGTTGATAATATTATTCGAAATGACAGAAAAGTGGCGATTATGGATATATCAAGGTGTAATAACCATATTGTTTAGAATAATGAGAATAATCATAGAATATTTTATGATGGTCGTGACGTTTTATAAGATAGACCTCAACAATGATTGCCATTTATTATAGATTATACTTTATGATAAATTTTTAACTCGTTAGCTACGAATTACGATAATAGACGTGACGTTTTGCACATAACACGCTTATCACGCGTCAGATGATCAATTCTTATGTCTACGTCACAGTCGCGAGCCCGATTCACACCACAGTTGTTATTATCAAGACTATTTCGAATACGGAAAGCTGACGTATGTATTGGAGCTTTTGTAATTTTATAATAGGCCCATAACTACATAAACAGAGGCTTTAGCAAAATGCGCTCAATTATGATCGAACTATTATTATTATTATTGTTGCTGTTATTGTCATTGTTATTATTACTGTAAGGGTATATTAGTTACTATCGTAATGTATGTATACTTGGGATACACACAATATTGAATGTTTCTTTGAAGACAATACACAAGAACTGTCGATGACTGTCACGTTTAAATACACCGTAGATACACAGGGTTTAATATGGCGAGCCAAATTGTCATTTAATCGCAAATAAAGGCAGGTTAGTTTTAAATAAAGATATCTCTATTTTAAAAAGAGATTATGTTAGTTTTAAATGGAGATGTATGTAATTGAATATATTTGAGAATGTTTTTTTGAGGAGGCGTTTATTCGAGAGAGGCGTTTATTCAAGGGAGGCATTTATTTATTTTGGTGTAATATGGAAACGTAAGCCTATACTAATTTTAAATAGAGATATATCTGTTAATAGAGGGATATCTCTATTTACTATGATATCTCTATTTAAAACTAAAATATCTCTATTTGCGCTGTAGTTCTCCAGTTCGATTAATCGAGAGATCCTTAAACTTTCTTGGAAATCAGGTAAGTCATCATCTTGCTTTGCTCAAGTAAATACGGTCACACATTTACAAGAACAATAGAAAGAATACTTTAAACCAACACCATTACACCATCTCGCCAGATCTGTTGTTAACCTCCACTGAACATCTCCACGTAGATTTTAAATGAAAAGATAGGCATTATTATTACTGTGTTTAAAAATTATTTTATATAAAATTTTTGAGAACATGAGCAGTGGGTCCAGAGGCTTAATTTCTTGACAGTGAGGGATCCGATCCAAGGGGAAGACTAGAGCCTTGGTCAGGGTCCCAGACTATAATCCCGAGCAGGGTTCATGGCCATGGTGAGAGTTTTTATGGCTTAGTACGGCCCAAACTTGTGCCATTAGACCACAAGAATTAGAGATTGACAAACAAAATAACGTTATTTGAAAAATAAAATTAAAATCATCATCATCAACCCCAACCTTATCATCTCAAATCAACCACCATGCCCATGTGACCCCTGCACCTTATTTTCCTTCAAAAATTCTGAAAGTACGTCTCTAAACTTGATTTTAAATAAGACTTTGAAACCACTAAATCGTCAATATTTTCGGGGGCTTCGCCCCCTGAACCACTTTTAGAATATTTTGAGCGAAGCCTGACCACGCCCACTTTGGTCTCATCGCCCCACCCACCTCCGTCGGGCATATCATGGCGCCACCCCTGCTTTTTATCTTTGCTAATCGTATAAATATATCGTAAAAACCATACGAAGTTAAAGGAGACATTCCCGAAATGAAAAGGGGGCGTGGTACCTAAATTTCAAAAGGACATATCTTAAAAAAAAAAACCAATTGGAAATTGAAGCTGAAATTTTGGATTCTTTCTTTGACATATCGAGGCATTTTTAAATTTCTTGCTGATTTGAGCCTCTTGCTGACTTGAGGTGGTGTCAGCTCTCACGCATCCCTTACCGCCAAATCATGCATTCACCCCAGAAATACCCAGCTTGGGGATGGATTGGAAGAATATGTGGAAATGAAAATGATGTCACGATTGACTATACTAGTCCCCAGGGGCGGATCCAGAGATGTCCAAAAAAAAAGGGGGCGCGCGAAGGGGGCCCCCGAAAGTTGGCCGATCGAGACAACACTGTCCTAGGGGGTCCGAAATTTTTGTGTTCTAGACGCCCGAAAATAACATTTGAGTCGTTCTCTATCATTTCCCCCTTTTTTTTACCTCCCAAAAAGGGGGAGGGGTGGGCCGGGGCCGGGCCGGCCTAAATCCGCTCCTGGTCCCATAGAACGAAAGTCATAGGGAAAGTTATCTTTGCTTTTTTTTTTATAGATACTGTATCCGAATAATACATACAATCAAATACCAATATAGTCATTGCTTGAGTTTATTCAAAAAATAACTGTAAGCCTAAATTGAATGAAAGAAAATTTCTTTTTAAAAAAATATACTGTAAATCACATTACCATATTTAGTCATCCTGAATTTCAATGGAATACAACTGGTATTAAAATGCACAAAATTACCAGTACTGTACATACAAATATAAAAACAAATGCAAATATCATGGATACTAGTATCATGATATTGTTCTGAATGTAGCATAATAATAGATGTAGATAATAGAGGTGACGTTTTGAACATAATGATTAGTGTCTTATGATTGTATCTGCTTTTATATTGACGATACACACTTCATCACTGAAAACCCTTCCATCACACAATTTGCAGCCTTATCTTAATAATTAACTAACTTGCATAAATATCCTTTTACGATAAACCAGCATACAATTTTGCATTTGAATTTAGAACAAAATTAGCTTAAATAATTTAATTCTATTCTATATGGAATGCATTTGACTTCCTCATAAAACATTCTTTTATGATACTGCTAAACCAAGTCCAGCATACAATTTTGCATTTGAATTAAGGACAAAAAGCAGCTTAAATAATTTAATTTTTATCTACATGGAACACATTTGACCTCTTACTAAAATTAATATTCAATTAAAACTGTTTATCTATATAGATAATATATATTTATATATAAAGAAAACATACAAAACATTATAAACAACATGTTGCTTCCTTCAAAAGAAGAGCAACACAATGCACAAGTTACTAATAATATACATAAAAATATTACAAAGATATAGATATTATAAACAGGTAAGGTAAACCCATAATCATTACTGAGTTGTTGCCTCCCTCGAATAAACGCCCCTCAAAAACCCTGCTCAACAATAAATTCCCCAGGGTGTTAATTCAAATAAATATGGTATATAGTTTCTTTTTTAATCTAAAATCAAAATTTGTTGTTAATTTTTCCACTTTTTCCTTATGTACCGCTATAAAAAAACAGGAAAAAAGAAATGGGAATGCAGAACTAAATCCATATTCCATGGTCATTTTTAGTATTTTAACCCACTTAGTGAAACTAATTTGCTGTCATTGGGGGTGCATCCACCATCCCCAGTCTACACACATGGCAGCATGTATTTGCCTGAGTTTTTTTTTTTTTTTTTTGCATATTTATTCTTTACACAGTCAATAGTGCAAATACACTTTAAGTAGTACTTCTATTTCAGTACCTAGTTGTAGAGGGCGCACTTCTATTTCCATTATGAGATTGCAGATGGTGAACATTGATAATACTGTATGATTATAATGTACATCGGCAAACAACATGATTAGGATTACAACAAGGTTCAGCATCCGGCGACTGTGAGTAGTCCGCAGCCGTTGTATTGTCTTGAAATATACTCCAATCCATGCGCATACGTGCTAGTTTAATATGAGTGTATGCATCCTGATATTCGTTTGACTGTGAGTCCAGAGGGTGTTCTTCACCTGGGTCTGTCAGCAGGTTAAATATCAGAGGAGGGTTATGTCTTTGGATATCACCCCTGACTCCCCCGCAACCCTTAACACCACCTGAAAAACAAAGTTGGATTGTAAGAATAATTCTAATGCTGTCAATATACAACCATTTTTTTCAAAATTAATATTTTTACATATAATTTCTAGAATAAAAAGTATAGCCGCGTTAGTCTGTACAGTATAGAAAGTATAAAGTAAAAAACAGGAGACTGATGTGGACGAAAGCTAGAGAATAAATTATATATTGTTAGTCTCAAAAGTGCTGCTGTTTTTTACTTTATACTTTATATAGTTTCTATATAGCCATGTGAACATATAAACAAATAGGTAATAGATAAAAACAGTGCTCAAACATTAGAAGAAATGTTTGTATTGAGGATAGCTATCAAATGAAATAGTTCCTTTTCATATAAAAAAATGCTTCAATTCAAAGATAACTGAAAAGAAAATTCAAGCTGCCACAAGCACACTATTTAGTCCTTATATTTGAGAGGGAATTCATCAAGATATATC